GAACCCTGTACGTTTATAGTATTTTTATAGCAAAATTTTTGGAGACATAATGTACATACAGTAAGTAAGGGAATGGGTGGAAAGAGAGAGTTGGGAGTCCTTGAAATTCGCACATTGAACTAACTGGGTCTGAGCTGCTTCCCGCCGCTCTGCTTGGGAGCTGGGCCTGCCCACCCCGCAGTAACGACCCACGGTGGCTACGTTTCATCCCTGGCTGGACTCTCGTCCTCTTGACTCGCAGTCACGCTTTCCAGATTTGTAGTGAAAGGGATAGTTGGCACCAGTCTGACTTGTGGAAGAAAATGCCACGTTTTAAAAAAAAAAAAAAATTACATTGATTTGCTGTTATTAGCTCTTACCTAGCACGGTGGCTTCCGCCAGCTGTACTTGCGAGAGGGGGGAGTCGTAGGTGCTATGCAAGCAAAAAGCCATGTGTTATTGAGAGAAGAAAACGATAGTGGCAGGATTAAAACGCTGACACAAAACTCCCTCCCTTTCTGACCTTTTCACCTCCTATGTTTATGCTCCTAACTAGAGAAAGATAAATTGCTCTTCCTCTCTCCTTTCTAAAGTAAAACCCTAATCCAGTGAACTTGGTAGCATGAATGTAGCATTGTGGAACTATTGAAAATCTTATGTAACTCTGAAAGGGCCCATTTATGTATCCACTTCAGTGATTTATCTGTAGACCTATTGTATATCTATTATCATTGAACATGTGTAGAGCTAGGGTTGCAAAGTGGAAAGGTAGCTTGTACAGTTGCAGAACTTCTGTAGGAAGATGTATGCGTGAATGAACATAACGGACTGTTTTACTGGTGCAGTTGACTATAGTATAGTAAAATGACAAATGATGAATGCATTTCTCTCTTTTCCAAAGATCTATATTCCACGTAGTTTGTGATGTTATGACATGAGCATATTATTTCCTTTGTAGTGTTCATTTGACTAAAGAGATGGAATACTCTAAAACCTATGATTGGAAAGACCATAGAATTTGGACGTGTAAAGTTCTTTGTGCTAATAGGAGCATTGGAGTGAGCCACTTTTGAAAAGGAGAAAAAAAAAGTCTTCCCCTTTTAGCTTGAATTTTAAGTGGCTGCTGAGAAAGGAAGGGATCAGCAGAGGATAGGATGCAAAAAAATTGCATTGTTTAAATTTTAGAGTGAAAATACGTGCTGGGACTTCCTCCACTGGACCACCCTATAAAGGACGACCTCTGGGGCAGGTGCTTCCCAGTTGGCACGCAGCACAGTCGGACCTGGCACATCCCCTCCGCTGGGGTCGAGCACCCATCCCTGCGCCCTGTGCACCCATGCAGCCCTGGGCCTGGGGGACCCTGGCTGCTGAGCGCACAGGACAGTTTGTCCTTCCACTCCAAAATGCTTCTCTTGCCTTTGAACTATGTTGTTCGGATGCGCCTGTCTGCGCATCCATGCGACTGGTTTGCTCACGCGCAGTCTGCAACTGCTGTCTGAATTGGTTTGCTGGAGCTCACCTCTAATTAACGTTAATGCTCGTGAGCGCGTTACGCTGTGGTTGAGCTCGAGTCCCCACGTTGCCGTGCTAGCGGATCAGGAGCCCCCTCGCGCCAGGATCCCGTGGCGCCCCGCGCTTTTCTGCAGGCTCTGCTCTCCAGCTCAGCCCTGCCGCGGGGAAGTGCTGTGGCCCAGCCGGCATCGCCGCAGCTCCTGTGTGGTCAGGATTCGCCCTTAGCACGGCCAGGAGAAACCCTGATAACAGGGACGCTTGGTTAACCCTGGAGAGGAGCAGATAGTCAGGATAGCTAAATTGGGTCCTGTCCCCGGCTGTTCACCCCAACCACGTGTGGGAGTTGTTGCCTTGTAGCAAGACAGCAGAAAAGGATGCGACTGCATCAGTGTGCAGCGAGTGTTCGTGCTGCTACAGCGGCTTTGGAGGGTTCCTCTTTTGGCATGTAGCACCTGTCTTATACAGGGTTTCCCAGAGAGGTTTTTCTTTCCCTCTCGTTTGGCTGGGAAAGAGAGAAGAAAATTCGGTTACCTGAGAAATGTAGAAATAAGTGGGGAATTTAGATACGGCTTCCTCGGCCTCTCCTTATGCTGCAGCCACCAACTTCCCTTTGCATCCTACCTCTGCACCCGAGACGAGAAGTTAGCAGACCAGCCCTCGTTGCATAAAACCAAAACCAAAAAAGTCCTTGTAGCTCTAGCGAACCACCTGACTGCAAAAGCCAACCAGCCACCTTGCCCTGCCTCCGTGCGAGGGCTCTGCTGCGTGTGCCCAGGCGTCCTATCCAGTCCTGCCTCCGAGTGCCTCGAGAGCGGCTCGAGCCGCGTCCCGCGGGCCCGGGGTGGGCTTCGCTCTGCCTCCGGGTAACGCTGCTTTGCTGAGGAGACTCTGGAAAGGAATTTGTTCTTCATTTCTCAGCCTGGACTTCGGCTCCAGCGGCATCGGGACAGCACGCGCGCATGTGTGCTCACACCGTCTCTTCCCATACAGTCCCTGCGAGTATGGGAGATGCTCCTCCTTGTTTGCCTTCGCTCGCTCAGCGTCTCCCTGGCTCTTGGCCCGCACTCATTTGGCAAAGAGCTGCTTGCTGTTTTGGGACGTTGCTGCCTTACTGACCTGTGGCCGGGAGTTCCTGTTCCCAGGGCTCTGCTTGGCAGCACAACGGCAAATGCTGCTTCATCATCTCCGGGCAACGTAAGCGGGGAGAGTTGAAAGACTGGAAATGGCTGATTTGAATAGCCAACACGACCGGATCGGGAAGGGGGAGTCTGCCCTTACCCCCAACCCAGGCAGGAGGTGGAACGACAGCCTCGCTCTGCTCGCTTGGTTTAGCAGTAAACAGTCAACCCATCAAAACCTGGTTTAAGAGTGACATGTTATTAATGGTGCATTGGTCCAGGATAAGGTATGTTATCATAAAAAAAAAAAAAAAATCCTTCCAGGGTCACTGGCAATTGGCACGCGTCGTCGAAATTGTGCATCAGAGGATGTGTTCGATAGTGTCGTCCTTCCTCAAGCGATCAGGACACGTTGCCGGTATTGGGAAGCAAGATTTACAGGTACATGCTAAGCGGAACCACTTTGTACCCTGGGTTTCACAATGACGTTCCCAGGAATTGGTGAATCAGCCAGACCTCCCTGTAGGATACCATACCGATATCCTCCTGATGGATATCAAGCAGCAATATCATTTTCCAAGCCATCTGTGACAAGTTGTGCATGAGTCTGTGTTTTGTGCCGCTGATCCCAGAATATCCATGGCTTTCTACATCTGTAGTCTGTTTTTTACTTCTCGGCTGTGGAAACGCAAGCCAAAGTCAAGTGGAAACTGTTACGATTCAATGACAAATCGGCCTGCTGATAACTCTGTGTGCTGGAGCTGAATGAGTAAATGGGTGGTTTAATGACTGTGAGCCTGATTGTGATCATGGTTACTCCCACGTAATCCTGCTGTGTAATCAGCAGAATTAATATTAAAACATCAGATTTAGCTGCCTGCCTAAAAATGCCAATGCACAATCTCTTGTGGAGATCATGCGTTAGATATCAAAGAGTGATAGTAACCAGTAGCTGTTTTGAGTCGAAAATAAATTCTGCCCAACATACTACAAATCAGTGTGAAAAACTTAAAAAGATCACAAGGAATAGAAATAATGGACATTAAAAATCTACCTGAAGGGAAGCGACATTGCATTTTTCCATGCATACTTAGTAAATGATAAAGAACTAATACTACAACACAATTTGCCATATTATTGTATTGCTTTTAGAGTATCTTTAAAATTGATAGCCGTAAGGACAGACGAAAAGCATTCTGGGTTGCCTTACGTTATCACGGTGGTGAGGCAAGCCTTATTTAGAGAGTTAATTGGCTCTCTGGTCTTTCTTCCTTATCTCAGTGTCCAAAGAGATTTTTGTCTTGAAGGGGTGGTTAATCACAGT